TATGATCACTGAAGACAAACGTGTGCATAAGCAAATGTGGTGAAGAAAGCTGATGGTGCCCAGCTATCAAAAGATACAGGATCTGGGGTCTTAAAGGCTTGAAGATAAACAAGCGGCCACCTAGCTCAGAAGTAACAAAGCCCACATGGAAGAAGCACACCAGCCTGTGTGACCACGAGGTGGCGAAGGGATCAGGTATCAGGCATCAGAGAACAAAAAATCATATCATTGTAAATGAGGGGGAGTGCAGAGTGGAGACCTAAAGCCCATTGGTAGGCAACTGGGCACCCCTTACTGAAGGTTTGTGGGGAGATGAGCCAGCCAGGGTGCAGGGTAGCAACGTAGCAATGATGAAACACGTAACTTTCCTCTAGTTCTTAAATGTTTCCTTCCCCTACCCCCCCACCCCCCAACTATCATGATCCCAATTCTACCTTACAAATCTGACTAGACCAGAGGATGTACATTGGTACAGATAACAACTGGAAACACAGGGAATCCAGGACAGATGTCCCTCCAGGACCAGTGGTGAGAGTGGCGATGCCTGGAGGGTAGAAGGAATGTGGGGTGGAAAGGGGGAACTGATTACAAAAATCTAAGTATAACCTCCTCCCTGGGGGATGGACAACAGAGAAGGGGGTGAAGGGAGACATTGGTCAGTGTAAGACATGAAAAAATAATAATAATTTATAAATTATCAAGTGTTCATGAGGGAGAGGGAAAAATGAGGAGCTTATACCAAGGGCTCAAGTATAAAGAAAATGTTTTGAGAATGATATGACATCAAATGTACAAATGTGCTTGACACAATAGATGTATGTATGGATTGTGATAAGAGTTGTATGAGCCCTCAATAAAATGATTAAAAAAGAAGACTATGGGAATAACTAATAATTTATGTATAGAAAAATAAGTCCAAAAGAAAGAAAAATAATTATTTTAAAATGCAGAATATAGTATATTTATTTGGCTTAGTTGTGAACATTATTTACCTACGTAAACAATATGATTAAGCAATCATAAACTATATGAGTATAAAACTAAGTGTTTTTCTATTGATTTCGCTTTGTAATTTGTGACTTTAGAGCTGTGGCTCTCAACCTGTGGTTTCACAGGGTCACCCGATTCATAACAGCAGCAAAATTACAGTTAAGAAGTAGCAATGAAAATAATTTTATGGTGGGGGGATCACCACAACATGAGGAACTGTAGGAAAGGGTCGTGGCATTAAGAAGGCTGAGAACCACTGCTCTAGAGGGACCACATCTGCTACAGAGTAGAACAACCCCATAGGTTTTCTTGGTTATAATCTGTACAGAAGCTGATCAACAGGTCTTTTCTTCCACCGTAGGTGGGTCAGTTCAAACCGCCAAGCTTTTGGTTACCAGCCAAGTATACATTTTTGTGCCACCCAGGGACCTTAAAAATGCAAACACTAAGTATTAATTGAACAAAAAATAACCATATTGAAAGTATAAGAGTTGGGAAGGAATATGAATGGTATACTTGCTAAATCCTGACTTGTATTTTACAAGTTAGGGGGTAATGTCTAAAAATGATTAGTCAGAAAGAATCTGAGCAAGTAATTTAAACACAGAGATGAAATACCAGAAGAACAGAAGAAAGTTACAAATGCTTGGGTCTGAAAATTGGAAGTGGAACTAGGGATGACCACCATTTTCCCTATAAGCTTTACAGTTATTTTTTGCATTTGAAGCTATATATGAATTGATATACTTGAAATAAAAATTAGAAAAACACAAAAAAGCCAACCACCTACTCTTTAAGTTTGTTCATCTCTTAGTGACAGTGGATAGTTTTGGACAACTGATAGCTCAGTCTTTCCCATCCCAACAGGCTGGAAATTTCCTTTAATATTCAGATCTTTATGGGTAATATTTTTTCTCAAGTTCAGTCAATTAAGAAATCAATTTGTACAAAGCAGCAACTCATGCATTGCAGCTTCCACTTGGATATACTCACATGAATACCTCATATCAACAGTACCTTAGATTCTGTCATTGGATAAATAATTGATGCCTTTTACCCTAAGGGGATGATTGACAATGTTTTTCCTTTCTTTTTTAATGTTTTGTTTCATTTGTTTTTGTTTATTGTTGTTGTTGCTCTTTTTCTTGCTAGTTCTAGTAAACCAGAGTCGTTCATAACCCAAAGGTGGATTATTGGCTCCCATGTAATTCTAGCCCTAACCCAAGAACAGTTAGTTCTAATAACATGCCTCAGTTCTATACTCATTTTCACAAAGAGATCACTGAAGATGATGGTGCTGCAGCAAAGTGTGGTGAAGAAAGCAGATGGTGCCTGTCTATCAAGTGGAATAGCATCTGGGGTCTTAAAGGCTTGTATACAAACAAGCAGCCTTCTAAGTGAGGTGTCAACTAAGTCTACAGAGAAGCACACCAGCCTGTGTATCCAAAGATGACAATAACAAAATCCAAATATGATGAAAGGAAAGAACTTAAATTTTGAATACCCAACTTAGAAAGGCTATGGAGATGGTAGGAACCCAAAATCCATCCGCAGAGTGTCTGATTGCATTGTGTCCCTTTAGTCATAGGCAGCGGACTGGAACAGCTTTACTATCAGAGATTTATTGTAAACTTGATTATGGAGGACGAAACCATGGGGTATAATTTGATACTTGGTCAGTTGACCTCTCTCTTGACCCAACCTGAATTTGCTCTAGGCCGTGGTTTTCAACCTTCCTAATGCTGTGACCCTTTAATACACTTCCTCATGTTGTGGTGACCCCCAACCAGAAAATTATTTTCGTTGCTACTTCATAACTGTAATTTTGCTACTGTAATGAATTGTAATGTAACTATATGATATGCAGGATGTATTTTCATTGTTCAAATTGAGCATAATTAAAGCATAGTGATTAATCACAAAAACAATCTGTAATTATATATTGTGAAATATTTATTTCTAATTACACATAAATGAAATTTTGTCTTGAAGCATGGTGTAGCATGGGTAACAGTCTTCACGCCAGGTACTCGTATGTGGGCGTGTCTGCATGTGGGCGAACCTGCCTGAAGATGGATAGAGGAGCGCTGTCTAGGTTCCTAAGACCATCAGAAATACTTGTTTTCCGATGGCCTTAGGCAACCCTTGTGAAAGGGTTGTTTGACTTCCAAAGGGGTCACGACCCACAGGTTGAGAACCGCTGCTCTAGGCTCAACTATTTCTTGATTGTTCCAAGACAGAAATTTCTTCTCTGGGCTTTTAAATATTGGTGATGGTCTTTTTTTTCTTACTGTTTATTTTCATATTATTATTTTCTTCTTTCTATTACATTTTGGTTTTGCTTTTTATTGTTCCTGTTAGTTCTTCCACTTTAGGAAGCACAGAAAAGAGTGGATATAGAGTGACAATACACTGATGCAATGTTTTCACAGGAACATGTGGGGGTGGGGTGGGGATGGAATTAGGGAGTCATCAGTGGATGTGGGAGATGGGAGGAAGCATTGGAGCTGATTGTGACGATGTATATACAACTCTTTTCAGAGGGAGTTTAACTATGAAAGTTTGTTATATGTGAATGTTATATCAAGAAAACTACTAAAAATAAATAAAAAGAAGCAACCTACTTGACCTATGGTTACCCTGGGTGAAGGAGGAAGTTTTGCTTAGGGGACATTGAGCTCATTTTAATGGTAGTGGAGAGGGATATGGATAATGGTTGTATAGCACGAAGAGTATGTATAATCAGTGGCACGGATTTACATATGTAGAAGTTGTTGAATTGGAGATTTTTTTCCAATCAGGACTCCTTATTTATTGTACAGTAACTCTTATGTTAGCCCCTTTTATTTATTTATTTTTGTTGTTGTGTGTTTTGTCTTTTAATCATTTTATTGGGGGCTCATACAACTCATCACATTCCATACATACATCCATTGTGTCAAGCACATTTGTCGCCATCATCATTCTCAAGCATTTTTCTCTACTTGAGCCCTTGGTATCAGTTCATTTCCCCCCTCACTTCCCTACCCTCCCTCATGAACTTGTGATAATTTATGAATTATTATTATTTTTTCATGTCTTACACTGACCGATGTCTCCTTTCATCCACTTTTCTGTTGTCTGTCTTCCAGGGAGGGGGTTGGATGTAGATCATTGTGGTCAGTTCCCCCTTTTTCCCCCACCTTTCCCTTACCTGAATTGGAGAATGTTTTGTTTTATATATTTCTGCCAATTTTTAAATTAAATGAGTAACAATGAGTACAGGGAAAAAGGAAATGTTCTAAAATTGATTGTGATAAAGATTTTAAAACTCTTCTTGATATGGTTGAACCAATGAATTGTGGATGAAGGCCACAAAGATAGATAGATATCTTTTCTCGATGAAGGCTGAGCAACAGAGGAAAATCTGTCCTAGTGGTATCAGTTTTTATGCATTTAACTGCTTAAAAGACAAACTTGTGATTGTCTTTAATGTTTATGGATATCAAATTATTTAAGCTGTATCATTTACTATACAATGATTTATATAACAATCGATATCCATGTTTATCTTTATACCTTATTTTAAAAATGAGAAAATATCAGATAAGTTAAAGTTATGAAATTTTCCTGAATCTAGAGTCATAAATCAGCGACATTATATGGGATTGTGCACATTGAACTCTGGTGAGGCGGTGAGAGTGAGGCTAAGATTCAGCTGCTCACCAAACCAAGGCATCCATGAACCTAAGCCTGGGTAGAAGGTTCCTGATTCTCATTGACTCACCCAAAGAAGCTTCTTTTTGCAACTGAACTAACCAAACAAGGCACCTATTATCCAATTCATAAAACATGCTCTCTGCCTTGACCGCGGCTCACTTTCACTAACTTCATCCAATACGGCTCTATTTTATTCTTTTGACCAATTTTTACTTGGATAACATGGTGAGATAATGAGTAGTTTATAATTCTCTGTGATGATGACCTCTATTTACAGGTTGTTATCGCTGAGACAAATGTTGGCTACTTACCAGGAATGTGTTTCCACAATGGCCGCACACAACTCTTGTACCTTCTGGTTGGATTGGCAATGCAGGTTGAGCTGGCTGTTCTTCAGAAATAAGCATGACTGGACCCAGGTTAATGATGCGTCTACTGTGGAAAGGGACAGGGAGCAATTTCATTATCTCACAAATAACCTGAGGAGGAAATCTGCAATGGATGGCCTAAGACAGAATTTATTTCTAAAACACACTATACTGATTTTATAAACTGTCAAGCTTTGGAGTCAAATAGCAATAGTCAATCTTTCAAAAGCAAAACATTAGGATGTTTTTAATACTTGAGACAGAACTCATATATTTAAGTATCGGTCCTAATCAACACCCTTGGAAGTCATTTAACTGTCATTTCTAAGTTTTCAGACATTTCAATGAGAAAACCCTTCTGACTGCTCCCTGTCTAGCGCAGCTTCAACTGGGCATAAAATGAAATAAATTAACCTAAAGTATAATAGTACCAACATATTTCCACATGCCATGAAGGTTCTAGGGTGATGAGCAGCCAAATGTGTCTGAATTAGCTGTTTATCCCTTAATGCCTCTTTCATCACTGTCTGAGAGAAATTAAAACAGAGACCTCTTTTCCTTTATCCAGTTCAACATCAAATGAAGCTACAAAGGATTCATTTAATGGTCAAAAAGCAAGACATCACACACACATGGTAGTTAGGTTCCTGATACTTGTATCTGAATATTCACAATGGCATCTGGCATGTGCAAATTATTCAATACATTATTAGCAATATTTAGTTGAGACTAAGATTACTTACAGTGGAGTATATAATGACAAAACACTGAGTATTTATTTTAAATAAGTTTGGAGAGGGATTAAATTATTACACTGTACGATATCAAGAAAATGCATTGCTCACTCAAAAATATTGTCTTACAAATATCTATGGTCAAAAACTCAGACTAAGCAGATTAGTCCTTGAACAAATCGGGGGGGAAATTCTAGAGCCTGTAATTAATTTTAGGACAAAGCCAGACACCAAATGTGCCTTTAATAAATAGCCGAATACCAAATAGATGGACAAATAAATGAATGAACCTTTATCTCTTACCAGTTAGGTCTTGGACATCCAATTCTCCGAGATGTGTCCTTACAAATGAGGAGACAATTACAAGGGCATCTAACATACTTCTTTCCTGTTGGGGGGTTTTTGATTGGCTGGATCATGAAAGAGAATCCAAATACAGCAAATTAACCACAGTTAATTGCCAAAGTTTACCAAAGTTTCTGTGTGTGCTCAAGAAGAAAATGGCCCCTCTAAAACTAAGGCTCCCAGAGTGCCACTAAAGCATGCTTTAAGGAAAGTGGCTTCACATAGCACAGATGTTAGCAAACACTCTATGTAGTTTTGGGTGTCTACAGAGATTTAATTATCAGGGCCATACTTCAAAATTAGCTCTCATTGGCCTTTGAATTATAGGAGAAATAATTCCACTGAAAACCACCTGGCTGACTCATGAAGTCGATTCTTACTGGAAGCAACCTATCAGGCACAGTAGGACTGTCACCCTGGGTTTCTGAGATTGTAAATCATTACGTGAGCAGAAAGACTCATCTATCTCCCATGAAGTAGCTAGTGGGTTTGAACTGCAGACCTTGTGGTTGGCAACCCAAAACTGACCTCACTGTGTCACCGGAACACCGAAGAACAATTAGGGTACACCAAATGTTGGTGTCTCTTGAAAGATAACAAGACATCTATCTGGCCAGGTGCCAGCGTCCCTTCACAGAATGTTCTCGCTACCTGTCCAGGAAAGTGCCAGGAGAGGCTGTGCCTGGTTATGATTGCCTTTTCATATGATGAAATTTATGCTCACTTTGAAATGATGAACAAACCCTCGTTCCCAATAACTTCTTCATCACAATAACTTTCACTTGCTGCACATACAGCTTCTAAGCCATTGGCAAGGCTTTGAGCCATTTCTTGCAATAACTCAAAAACTCAAACTCACTGCCACTGAGTCGATTCCAAAATACAGTCACTCCATAGGACAGTAACTGCTCCGTTGGTTTCCAAGACATTCAAACTTTTCGGAAGCAGACAGACTCATCTTTCTCTTACAGAGTGACTGGTGGGGTTGAACTGCTGACCTGGTGGTTAGCAGTTCAGTGTTTAATCCACTATGCCACTGGGCTCCTAAACCAGGGACTGTCTCTACCCAGTGGGAACGGCTGGGAAAAGGAATGCAAGATAAATCTGAAGTAGTCTTAAATTTCATCAATGAAATGCAACAAGTGGTTAGTTTCATGGAGATTTTAGGTTTGAAAAAACAAGTGAATAATTGTCCTTAATACCAACATTGTCTTTAAATTTAAAGGCATGAATAACATGAAAAATCTCGTTCAGTTAAGCTTGCACTGGGAGGAATCGAATGGGACTCCTTTGGCACCACCGTCAAAAAACGTAAACCTGAGTCTCCTCACAGTGAGACAAAACCAACCCGAGGCACATTCTATAAGATATCTCATCTAGACTCTTCACAAATGTCAGGGTAAAAATGAAGAAAAAAAGACTAAGTTTGGGATGAAGATTTACTAAAGCAGCATGACAACAAAATGTACCATGTCATCTTCAGATTGGGGTCGGACCAGAATTCTATTTATTTAATTTTATTTTGTGCATACAGAGCTTTAGTGAGAGAATTGGAGAAACATAAATGAGGTCAGTAGATTTGATAACAGCATTCTATCAATGTGAACTTTCTGCTTTTGATAACAGTACTGTGGTGATATCAGTCAGTGGCCCTGTTTTCCGGAAATCCACTCTGCGGTATTTAAGAGTAAAAGCACACCGTGTCTGCAGAGACCCTCAAGTGACTCAGAACAACAACAGCCTTTGCTTCTTTATCCAGAGAAATCAATGTGGCAAAATATGAACATTTCTGGAAACTGAGTGAACGGAATAAGGGAATACATTGTACTCTATTTTTATAAACTTTTTCTATAATCTGCAAGTTTTTCAAAATAAAAAGATAGAAACATTTTAACTAACAGTAGTAGAAAATGTAAAAGTTAACACCTTACTTTTTATTAAGCTATAGTTATTAATTTACTAAACTTCATTAGAGATTTCGGAATATGTGAAATTTAAAATGTGCAAACATCAGACTAGGTAGTTTTAGTGTCAAAAGCATCAAGAAAAACAGAATGTGGGTCAAGTTCTGTCAGTCTGATCTGTCCTACAGCTAAATGTCTGCCTGGTAAAAGCCAGGATTTGTCTTCATAACTTATTTGCACCCACTTCTGGACTCCAGTTACCTCATGAACTAGATCTCAAGCACTGGTCTTCAGTGCCAGTTTTATGTGCCCTGTAGTTCCTGGTCTGTCGAGAAGTGACCTCCCCACCCCCATCCACCCCCCAAGAGAGAGAGAGTGTCCTTATGCATATGTTTTAATATTCATAAGAACTGCGTTGCCAGGTACTAGACACTCTACTTCTGTATTCTCAATAGCTACTCTATAAGGTAGGTATTATTATTCTATAGGAGGAAATTATAGTTTACAGATGTCCAGCCCTCAAGGAAGTATTGCTAACTAAAAAACAGAGCTGGAACTTGGACCCCATTCTGTAAGTCTACAGTACTCAGTCTTTCAGTCACATAGGCAAGCATTCTCGACCTAGAACATCTCACATGTTCCAGGATGCTCCCCAAGAAATCCCTTCTCCCTTCATCTGAAATTCTGTATTATCAGAAATCTTGCCAGCTATCATTTTCACCTTTTTAACAGCAAAACAATAAAAATCATATTCTTCTTGTCAATTTACTAAAATAATGAGCAGAAGAAAGAAGAGGCTTTCTACTCCTGTAAAGAGTTAAAGTTTCAGAAACCCACAGGACCAGTTCTACCCTGTCCTATATCGTCACTATGAGTCAGAATCATGCATTTTATTTGCTTTTGCTTTGTTGTTGTTGTTGTTGTTGTTATTTTGTTTTTGTAATTCCCACAGATATATGAGAATAGCTTCAAAAAGTTCATGAAAAAATTCAATATCTTTTCATTCCATTTTTCCACGAAGTTTGTCAAACCCTCTTAATGATCCTATTGCAGGTGACTGCTCAGGAAGCTAGATATAGTGATCTCTTGGATTCAATGACATGAGGAGAGTGATCACAATAATAGTGACTGTGATCCAGTCACCATGAACATTGGGAATGGTTCTGTGGGCCCTTGGTCCATTATAACAGTTCTTTGCGATCTAAATGGAGTTCTACATGGTCTACATGCACTGGGCTGAGCCAACCACAGGGTCAACAGTTTGAGTGCACCAGCTACTCCACAGGAAAAAGATGAGGTCTTCTGCCTCCTTGGACATTTCTAAAGCCTTGGAAACCCACAGGGCAAGTTCCATTCTGCTCTATTAGGTCAGAATATTCCTATTACAAATCAGAATCACCTCAATGGCAGTGAGTGAGTCCTACCTAGTACACTCCTAATGGTCTAACATCTCTGAAATAGATTTGTTTATATGACATTTTAAGTCTTAGTTATTTGTTATCTAGTAAAGCTCTCCTCATGGAATTTTTTTTCACTGTTCTCCTCTGTAATGTTACTGATTACAAACACAGTAATATGCTTAAATACTAGTCATGTTCTATAGAATCTTCACAATTATTTATATCTATTCCTTCACAAGGGCAATCATAATATGAAACGTTTAGAATAGCTTAAAAGTAGCTTATTTGTAACCAACTCCTTAAATGACCACACAAGTTGACTGTGTGAGAACTTACCACTTCTTAGAAGCCAGATTGATATGATTGGCTAAAACTTGAAGGGTTTTTGAGATGACTGCATGAAAGTTCTACTCTGCTGTGTTCCGGGATAAAACCAGTTAAGCACTCACCTACTAACCAAAAGGTTATCAATTCAAATCTATGCAGATGCATCTCAGCAGAAAGGCCCAATGATCTATTGACAATACCCTGGAGCACACTTCTACTCTGAAATCCAATGTACAAAGGAATAGGCGAGGAAATGAGCACCAATATCAAGGCTAAAGAAACCTTTAATGGTAATTTTTAGTTGCTATTTTTGTCCCAAATCCAATGTTCTTGCCAAATGTCCAAAGAGCAGTGAGAAGGTTAATGCTAATTAAATGTATGAGAGAAGGTCCAAATTAAAAAGAAAATAGCTGGGTTTGTAGCCATCTATTTATACAATAAAGTTCTTAAAAATGGTAACCTTGTACGAGCCCCCAATAAAATGATTTTAAAAAATGGTAATCTGTACAGAAGGAAATATTTATAAAGTAATAAGTTGTTTCATGACCTAAGGTGGTTTTTTTTTGTTTTGTTTTGTTTTTAACTTTATTAGACAAAAAAATATGAAAATGTAACGATACTGTTTCTTGACATGTCCTCCATCTAAGTCTATATACTTCTGGAGGCGGAGTTTCCA